GTTTTCTGCGATATCTTTATATAGTAGAGAAAAGTTTAAATGTGTGTACATAGTATAAGAAATAAAGCTTAAGTCTCTGTAGAGATTAATATTGTTTGCATATAACATATCATAAGATTAATCTTTTTCTTTTTTTTATAATAAATCCAACGATTGTGCTACAATATGGAGGGAGACAACACTATCGTCTATCTTAAAAAATGTAACTCATACAGCATAAGTATCTAAAAGACGTCTCAGAGATATCTGAAAGATATCCTGCTTAGTTTTAATGACTGTAGGATGTCTCCAAGATGTATTTCAGACATTTGTATCATTTGAGAAAGGAGGTACAAAATTTCCTTTATCTCACGGATCTACTTTCAAAAAAAGCAACTTACACATTTCGTTTATTCGAAAATGAGAATACTTTTCCGAAAGGATAAATCTCTTCTCCACAGAGAAGATTACAAATAGATTGAATTGTGAATCGTTACGCCTTACACGAAGAGATAACCGAAAGCAAGGCACTTAATATAATTTATTGCTTCGAATCGTAATGCAACGAGAAACGGCGAATATATATATATATATATATATATATATATATATATATATATATATATGTATGCATGTGTATCGACTTATACAGATAGCTATCTCTAATATTATCGGTAATGACGTCGCTAAATTTAAGTAGAAAGAGAGAGAAAGAAAAATAGAGCACAAACTATATTTGATAATAAAATATAGCCCCTCACCTTCCTACATATTACCTACGCGATTTCCAAACTTATCGATCTAGAAAAATAGAGAGCAAACTATTCCAGATAATAAAATATACACGGATCTTAGGAGGTCGTAGCGCAATCTCTAGATCGATGTAAAATAATTATCACATTGTGTTCGAAGAGTAGGAAAGTTTATCACCGGCTCGATTTTCGCGTGTATGCGCGCGGGCACACTTCTTGTTCAATAATCTCGTCCTCTCGTATCTCTTACACCTGATATGTCGATATTGTCAATGATCCAAGCACAAAGCTCCGATTACCGGATATACATTGGTACATCTATATAACGACACTAGACTCGTCAACAATATTCGTATTATATATATATGTATATATATATATATATATATGTATATATGTACAACACATGTATATATTATTGTAACAATATTGGGCTCTTAGCGACAAAGAGAATGTCGCACGACATATATAAAAGAATCGGCAACAATCATCCGCGATAATCGTTCGCCCGTTGGCAAAAATATATCACGATAAAAATATCCGATCGATATTCGATGCAACAATTAAACTTTACACACGTAATGCAACAATCGTGAGTCTACAACGGATTTCTAGTACGACGCGTTGGCCGGCTCTCTATCTCGCGAGTATATCGCACCCCCTTCGCATCGCTATGCGTTTTCTCCTACGGCAAAACGCGAGGAATTTTATAGTTATTAACGGCCAAAAAGCTCGGGGATTTTAATTAACGCGTGGACAGAACGCACATATACAATATACTGGTGATGAGACCAGTCACCTCTTCGTAAAAATTCTCTACGTTCAAAATGGAAGATATTAAAGTCGACCTACGATGACAACCAATACCGCGTTAATTCGTGGAAACAGCATAAAATTCGTTAAGGGTGTAAAACGCGGCTCGCAGCGGCGAGTTCGACTTTACTTCATGAACTTCCGCATCTGCTTCGTCTGATGTTGCATACTGTATTGAGCGTTTTCAGCCTTCGAGATCAACGAATCCAGCTTGTCAAGATGAGAGCCCATCTTTGTGCTGAGATCGATATGCTTTGGATTGGCGCCGTTGTTCGGCCGAACACCACTCTCAAGACCCGTCTCACTCTCTGTGATTGTCTCCACCGTCATCACCTCGTCTGCCGTTGCCGTCGCCGCCGCCGCCGCGGATCCTGGCTCCTCCTGGATCTCCTGGCTAGCGTCAGGATTCAGATCCTCGGGCTTGTGATGCGGCGTGCCACCGCGGGAGCCGACCTTCACCTTGAGCAATGTGCCAAGACTGCCGCAGACTGTCTGCGAAATTTGTCTTACTTCATGTCAAGTTCTCTTCCGTTGTTGTTCTCGCGATAGAGCGTAAGGAAAACGGGATACGCGTGCGAATGTCGATTATTATGCGAGCGGCGAGACGTAGCGTGCGTAGGTTGCTTAGTTGCGTAGGTAGGTTGCGTTTAGAACCGTGAATCCAGCGTGCGACAATTTGTCTAGGCTGATCGATATATAGGCACAGCGAAGTGCAGCGAGGAGGAGAGCGGTTATCAATTTGAGCGGCATAAAGCATTCCGCCGTCGTATCGGTCGTAAATGCCGCGAAGCGAGCGTTACGACGAAAATAATAATTAGCTCGGGCAACATACGCGAAGTGGATTAATCGGGACGTGCGATTAATTGTCCTAAGTCACCTTGAATCTGTTGAGCTTCTTCTGCGTGGTACTCAGAATGCTGTTCAGCTCGTCCAGCCCGCCGCCGATGCGTCCAGCCGTCTCGTTCGTGTAATCCAAGTCCTGAGATAAGATCAAGCGTAGAGGAATTATACCACGACATGCGAATTCCGGACGCTAATGAACTCGCGATTGGCCGCGTCGGCGATTTGTTTTTCGATGATCCAGCTCGCACGTGGATGCGCAACTTGACTCCGCCGCCGTATAACATAACGCGAGCGCGACTGTGTTGTGCGGTGTGTTGGGTGTCAAACGTGTGAACGGCAGCGTACACGGAGAAAATGTTATAGTACAAATTACAATAGGATTTTATTACTATGTTCGAAACTTATTATGTTCCTTAGCAAAATAGATCTTACTCATAGTCTATTCCAGGATTATTAAAAATATAATAAAATTGTAAAGAATTTATGTGAAAAAACTATATTTTTTCGTGTATACATTTTTAACACTTTTATGTGCGGTCACGTTTTCGCACGGTCGTTAAATAGTAATCAAGGAAAGAACGACGGCAAAGCTTTCACGCTTTTGTTGGCGAACGTGATCATCCGTAATCATCTTAAAGATGAGTCTCGGACTGATAACGCGGATTTATGCGATCCTCCCGGCGGCTGGGCGTGTAGCGAAAATGAAACACAAACGCGATTACCTGTAATGCACCGTCGTCATTGTCGTTTTCACCCTCCGCCGCCTGCGTCTGCCTCCACTCCTCCTCGCTCGGCTTCTGTAGGCCGAGTAATTCCGCCCTCTCGCAAGCGTGTTGATAGTCCTGGGACATCGCGTTACTTTCTGTCTTCCAACGATGGTGTGCTTACACCTGGTCCACAGGTCGAACGCGACCGTTGCGACGTGATCGAAGGCGAGAGATTGTGTCCGCGAGCACTTCTGAACGCGAAATTCCCGTTAAAATCGTTGCACCCTCAGTCGAGGACGTGCATCGCTCGGGGAATCCATATTGGGGGTAGAGACTGCGCAAGCTCGACCGACCATCGTCGTCGAGGTGGGCAGAATTCGAGATGAGGCTTGCGGAGGGTTTTAGCTACGTTCTATCGCGTCAGGGTCGATCGCGATTAGCCCCACTCGCGTGTTAATCCTCGGAATAGGATCAGGACGCGAATCGGTATACCGATCTGCGCTATTTCGCGCGGTTCGTAGGCGTTCCTCGGGTCCCAAGAGAAATAGGACATTGAGAGCCACGGAATAAATAGAATTCACAAAGATAGATAATAAAAATAGTATTGAGGTTCCATCCGAGGTAACTAAATCTCGAGTGACGTTAATAAAGTAACCAGGCGATAAAATAAATTGCTTGTTTTATTAGGAGAGACGACTCGATTGTAATCCTTGTGATTGTTGTAATTCTTGTATTTGTAAAGATGTTTAAGTGTGCGTTACGTCCAGAATGTTATTGAAAAGCGAGGTGTCACTTATAAGTTATGAGAAGGAGAGAAAGAGAGAGAGAGAGAATAGTATCAGATCGCGCGAGATGAGAAGCGGGAGTCGCGCGATTCCCAGGGCGGCGGCACCGTATCGTCGCCAGCCGTGCTCATAATTAATTTCAATCTCATCGATACCCAGCAACCCATACATATACTGGACCGTACGTTTCTCTCACCCACGTCGTAAAGGCGCACGGGTGCGCTTATATAAGCTACGCGACAGCTTGATCGGTTTGCATTGTTGTCGCAGCGAACTGCATCGTCTTGCGAGCGACGCGTGAATTACGACATTGACAATGTCGTCCCGAATCGTGACGCGGGGGATCGGGTGCACTTTGACCTTGTTACTCGTGCTATCTGCGCAGGTGAGATAGGGATGTTCTCGCTTTATCGAGAAAGTAGGAAGTAAAGAAAACAAAGGAAGGGAGGCCAGATTTTAATCGCGAAACAGGTTCGTCGTAGAATTGAAACGAGTATTTTTGTAGATTGAAAATTCGGTTAGAGAAGAAATTTTTCACGATATAATTCGTTGATAAAAATCAGAAGTAACAAATTTTTTACCTGAAAGATATTTCATAATGATATTTATCGTAGTGATATTTGTATAGTTTAAAGCAAAATTGTGTAGTCATAATTTCGTGAAAACTCAGGAGATTGCGTTTACTTATTTGCCAAGATTCATTGCGTTGTTTGTCAAATTAAAGAGAGAGATCGGCCATTAACATTATCGCGGTTTCGGCGTCAATAATAGTGTTACTAACATCCAAGCCGTCACTCCAATATTGCGGCGTGTTATCAAATTGACCAGCAATGGGAATGCCGCTTGGCACTGATCGTTAAATACTCCGTGACCTTCGCTACGACGGAGCGCGGAAACTAAAAGAAATCGCACAGGCCTTCTGGAAAAAAGAGCCATAATTATTGCGTTTACCACGTGGAAAAGCGGATCATTTTTTACTTAATTTTGCTTCGAAAAACTTGTCAGCGCGCAGAAAAAGATTGAGACGAATCGCGCTTCGTAACGAGAATCAACAAAGACTGAATCCCACGTTCCTTTATAAATGATGCATTTTTCAACAAACGACGTCATTTGTCCAGGCGATCGACTACGAGATCTACAAACGCGACGACAAAATCAAAACGCAGCCAAAGAACGATACGGTCTTGAGCAGTCGCGACCTCCTCGAGCGGCTGAATCACGTCGAGCCAAAGCCGAACTACAGTCTGCAGGAGGCCACGGAGCAACTGCTTCATTATGGCGCGTTGCTGCGAACGCGAATCCTGGACACCTTCGGCAATCTCCTATACATCCACTACGACGACTTCAGCGTGGTGGAGGTCGAGGCGTTGCGCAACGTGTACCGGCAGACTTTGGAGCGACGTTACAACATATTCCACCTGGTGGCCAATGTGTTGAGAAACCCGGACATGAGACCGTCGAAGATCTGCGCCGACATCTACGCCCTTGCAGAACCCTGTCTGAGGAGCAGCGCGAACGTGTGCCGCGGCATCAGGAAGCGACATGATCTACCGTATCCCGACGACCTAATCATGTACGCCTCAAACATTACGTATCTGGCATATCGTTCGTCTAAGATATCGAGATGGTACCCTGAAGGATTCTCCTTGCCGGCATTGCTGAAGTTCTTGCATGAGGGAGTCCTGTCTATCACGCCCAGTTTGTTGTCCGGGCTTCTCTATCATGTGAGATACGATGATTTCGACAGCGACATTCTCCTTGCCGAGCGGGAGTTCATACGATACTTTGAAGAGATCGCGCGCACTACCAGACGCAGTTTTCAGGGTATTCTAGAGCCAATGTCGCCGAAAGAACTGAGAAAGCATCACAGTGTGGCGTCTTTCCTGAGGTACTACATTGGCATTCACGTTGAGAGATTCGCGAGCGACAAGTTGAGGAGGCATGCGCTTCTCATCGTTAAGCACTTCGTCGACGACGTCGGCACGATCGACGAGAATATTCACTTACTCGGGAACGTCTACGAGAACGGGACGATTCACGTTGGATACCTCTTTGACCTGGTGTTGCCCAACGACGTGCTGCACAACGATGTGGTCGGAGCTAAGAGGTACTTGGTGGATAAATTGAACGAGCTCGACGTGCTCGAAAGATATCTCAGGGTGCCGAAGTATCAACAAGCCACGCCCGCTCATCTGGTGATGGAGATCACCGGACAGCTGCAGGAGATTGGCTTTTTAAAGGACATCGCGACGGCTCTTCAGATACACGCGAGATTTTGGCATAGGAGCTACATGGTCGAGAGTCTGTATGAGCTGCTTAGGCTGTTCGACGCGTACGAGAACCTACGACAAGTTGCGCGTTACCAGAACGTGATGAAGAACCTTGACAAGATCAGGTGGAGTCTGTCTGGTATGCAGGACGTGCCCATCGAGATCCTCTGCAACGCGCCGCGAGCTTGTCTATTGAACGGTCTGCGGATGCTCTTAGACTGCAAACTCGTGAGCCCCGAGATCAAGCAGCTCATCAAGGATTTTCTCAAGCAATTGTCACCCAAGGGCGCACCGCTAGACGACGAATGCCAGATTCCCATGAACATGATAAAGAAGTTCCGACGCACGTCGGACATCCAGGACTTCGACGTGTCGAAAATCAGTCTTTCCGTGGAGACGGTGGAAAGCCCCGAGGCTCAGACAGAAATGGACGTGGACGACATATCCGAGTTAGAAACGACGGAGGTAGAGACGGCAGAGATCAGAACGACGACGACGATGACGACAACTCGAGTTGATACATCAGAAGAGAAGGACGATTTCAGCGAAGTAACGACAGCGAGCCTCGAGTCGTATAAATCCGAGGAGAACGCAAAATCCTCCGAGACGACGAATGAAACTACGGAGAAGATTTCGAAGGAAATCGAATTGTCGTTGGAAGAGAGCATGGAATCTTCGAGCACGAGGGCGACGGAAAGAGCGATATACGAGACAACTGAACCTATCCAGGCCACGACGACGACGACGACGACGGTAGATAATACACCGGAATCTCGTCAGGAAGAGACAACCACGGTTGCGACAACGACAACGACCATCACATTAGCCACGACTTTAGAGGACGAAAAGATACCGAACATTGACATGAAAATGGAAATGATTGATTCAATGGTCACGATGAGCGAAACTCACGACAAAGATTCGGACTTGGATGTGACTTCGATAAGCCCAACGCTTGTCGCAGTCGCCTCGAAGAAGTCCTGTGAATCGGGCGAATGTAGTAGCGAACGAAGCTCGGAGGAGAGCAGCGAATATGAGAAGACGTCGACTTTGTTATCGATGACCACAGAAAACACGTCCATAACGATGATAATCCCAACGACACAAGGTTTCGCTTTCTTGGAGATCACGGGAGAAACTCAAACAACATCGCCTGGACCGTCGTCGAGTCAAGAGGTGTCCAGAGAGACGACAGCGCCGGCGACGAGCGAAACTCCAATCGCAGAAGGTAGAATGTTATATTACGCGTTTCACTCTGTCCTGACATAATAATTCAACGACAGTGGCGTTCCAGGAAAAATATATTCTTTGTTAATTAGCGTCAAATAAATACATTATGACAGACGGACTTTAATATTCACGCGAAAAAAACATCTTTGTAACTGAATTTTCTATTACTTTTTTTATTTGGGAGCCAGATAAAAAAGTTGATTGTGAGAACAGAAAGATTCCCGTAGATTTTTATTCAATCAATTGCTCTCAGTTACTTCAATTGAGTTTTAACGCAGCTGAATATTTAGACGAATGTTTTCGGTCACAGTGACGGAGATATTACTTCCCGTCAGTAAGTTCTTCGTCTGGTCCCTATTCATTTACCCAAACTGGAATTTTTTCGTATACGAATGTATCTTTGTAAGGTTTCTGACTTTTTGCTGCGGCTATTTTGATTTATGACGTCGAGAAAATCTGACAACTCATGCAAAATACGTAGAAATAACAAGATCCATAAAATGAAACTTTAAAAAAAGATAGGTAAGTTGTCACGTTAATTTTACAGCAATTTATTGGTCGTTAGAGCAGAAGAAAAGCGTTCGGACTATTTTATAGATGTGCCCGACCGGTTGCAAGTGTAATTTTATAGATATATCTTTTTATTTCAACGTATATTGCAAGAACTTTTATCGTGTATTTTCTCGCCTCTAACGTCATCAGTCCAAAGTTCCGCAGAGAGAAGCCAGGAACCTTAATATGATTATTTTCGCGACTAACGTGACGAAACGCGATGCAGGCGAGAAGTGCACGAAGTCGTCCTGCTCGGGAGAGTGCGCTGGATCCAAGAGCGAGAGCATCGAGTCGTCGAACTGTCGCACCGAAGACTGCTCAGGCAAGTCTTGCTCAGGCTGCGACTCCTTGATGGAAGACTGCGACGGCGAGAACAGCGGCTTCGAGGATACTAAATTTGAGAGACCGGAGAACAGTACTAACGAGTGTCGCGGCAAGGTTGTCTGCGAGAAAGAGTCTTCTCCGGAGGTTTCAGCGGAGTGCGACACGTCACAGGATGAGAGGAGCGACGAAAGATGCGTGAAGGTGTGCGCTTCACGCGAGCAGACGCGGTCCTCATGCGAGGGTCAGGACGGCGACTGCTTAGCCGTCGAGCTGCCAACGGTGAACCTGAAGTTTGAGCGCGCACGAAATCAGAGCGTGTGCGAGATCCAAGATCCCCATCATCGTCGGCAGATGAGGCGCTTGGCGAGGATGCGGGCGATCAGCGCGACAACGTCGCGCCACGACAATGTCCTCGAGTCGTTGAGGAGGTGGCCGCGACGTCGAGACCGGATCGCGAGCGAGAAGCTGTACGAACTTCTGGCGAGCAGGCGACCGCCTCGCAATGAGAACGACAGGACGAGGACGAAGGCAGCGGGGTATTCGTCGCTGACGAAGATGAAGTTTGAGGAAGGCGGTCGGAAGAAACGCACGTTTGACCGCAAGCAACGGGACCAGCTCTACATGTTGAGAGAGAAGCTGGCAACGCGACATACTGGCGGGAAATCAAGACAGGTGTATCGATCGGGCAGGACATCGATTCGCCGCGGTCAGACGGAGAGGATATCCAAAAGAGGCGCCAGTTCGATCGTCGTTGCGCCGCTTCGTGATAGCGCGATAGTATATCGGGATATGTCAATGTAAAATTACGTCATACATTAGTGTATTCTTGCGGTATTACGTTTCATCACGATCACTATTCGTCATACAGCACATAATCTATCGATTTTACCGGCTTATCGACTCGGAATCGTAGAATTGAGGAAGTTAACAAAGTTCGTGGTCAGGTAGCTAATTATGTTTGTGACAAGAGCGTTTGTCGAATTCGATTAAATGATTATGCTGGAGATCGGGAGATATTAATATTCGTTTATATTTAACTCGCTATACTATCGCGCGAGAGAGTTGCGCTCTCGCGTTTTAAATTATTTCTTCGACGCGATTAAAGGCCGCCTGCAAAATGCAGCGTCTGCGATTAATTTACGTTACATTAATGAGCTTTTTATCGTGCGGCGATTCATAGTAAACTAGCCGGCCGATCGAGGCATTCTTGAATTCAATTCTAAGTTAATCGTTAGGGATCCCCGTGAGTTCCACGAATATCTGGTCGTTAAAAATAATGTTGTAATTCTGTACGATTTATCGTAGATGGAACACACTGAGAGAAACAATATCTAAGAAATAAAAATATGTATTCGGTGGGTAATAAAACAATTAGTTAAATTCTTTTGTTTACATGGAATAAACACTTGCTTTTCATAATAAGCTAAGGTTTTAATAAAATATATATTTTTTATTTGAGATTATACTATATAAGCAAACATGTTATTAACATCCACTGAATATCTTTTATTTCTTAGATATTTTTTCCCTCAGTGTATCAATCGTTCATCCGTATGAAGATTGATCAAGTTCGTAAAAGAGTTGTACACAGAAGTTACAGCAATTAGTTCGAAGTAAGGGCTGCAATTATTGGATACTTATTAATTACAGGGTACTTTATAATACCCTTTGTGGTATCACATGGCTCTCAGTTTGGGTGATTAAGACCCCTTTCATCTAAGCACCGTGGAAACGTGCGGCGTGGAAGTTTCAGCTTCGTGTTCGCGACAACGAGGAGCCCGGCAAGAGAACGTCATAAAGCGGATAAGCGGGGCGAACGATAGAACACAATGAGAAGTAAATTTGACATGGCCGGTGCGTGGCGCGTAATCTGTCTTATTAAACGGCCCGCTCGCCGCGCGATGCGATTACACTTGAATTTACTTTGCACCGAAATAAGCGCCGTGTCGCGCTATCGGCCGCCAATTAATTCCCCGTCGCAGGACATCTTTATGACCACAGCGAATCCGCTTCATTTCGCACGAGCGTTTCGTCGTCTCGCGATATCTCTCGCGATAGGACAGGATAAGATAGGATAGGACAGGACATAAATAGAATATAAGGCGTCGCGTGTTTCTAATAATCTCACGGAATCGCCAAGACGCGCTCGCTCGCGCGCGCACCAGGTTGCGGTCGCGCCGATGGAACTCGGACACTTTCACCCGTCCCGTCGGCGATGTGAATCCAAGCGCGTTTCCAAGCAAACGCGGCTGGCTCGCCTGCGCTCATGAACGGAACGCGCTCGAGATTCTCGAAGGCTAATCGATCGCTTGCCTGCGAAATTTCGTTTAAGATGCAGGCGACGTAAACTATCAACGGGAGAAAAATATATATCGCCGACGATGAATTATCGTAACCGCGCGCTTCTCGTGAACATAAATTTCTGCGCGCGACGCGCGCAGGGAAGAGGCGGTTGGGAAACCGAGATTTTTAGGCGAACTATTAAAGCGTCAGACACGTAAAATGTACGATTTGTCGCGCTCGTGAGAGTGTTATCTCGAAAGTTTCCCTTGGAAATTATCATTTAGCCCGCGTTCACGTTTTTTTCAACTTCATCTATTCTGGCGGTCGCTCGTGTTCTCGACGGGACCTCTTATCTTGGCCGCTACTTTTCCCGCGACCTTGGTGTTGTGCGAGAGCACGTGTAGGTATTGATTACGTATGCTCGAAATTCTAAGGACTTTGTGCCACGTGTCGGAGAAAGAGAATCGAGACAAATTGCGGACTATATAATCAGTACACGCGCCAAGTTGATGCTTGGAAGAGCACTCGTCCTAAATAAACTACGGTGCTATCCAGCCGGCACCCTAGGGAACACATTTACACAACACGTGCTCTCACACACGCTTACCCGCCAAGAACTGAAAGCTGAAGGAACGTGGGATTCGAGTGGGAATGAATCATAAAGGGACCTAAAAGAAGAATCGACCGCGTTTAAATATCACATAAGGTACTAGCAGCATTAAACTTGTATCTCTCTCAGTCTTGTAAGATGCAGGCTACTTGAGATATCTCTCTATCCTGTTTTAATTCAATGTAATTCATTCCAAAGCATTTTTTATTCAGTTCTCATTTCTTGCGGCGTGAATTTTCTTAGATTATATTACTTCACTTTGTTATAGTTCTGTAAACGCATTATTTATGAAATGTAATTGACAGACAGTCGCCGTCGCTAGGACAGACGTTGCCCGAGGAAACTTGTGATTTATGTGAGATTTTCTGTTGCACGTCACGAGATGAGAGATCGACCTTCGTGGCCGCGCGCTTGTCGGTTTAAGCACGCGCTTGTTCCACCGGTTCGAGTCGGTCGATTCTTTAAAGCCGAGACCACCTCGTCGCTTTGACGGAACCACGTGAGCTGTCTTTTTGTGGATTTTATTTGACCCGTCACGTGCCCGTCTAAATAAATCGCCTTTTGCACGCGCGAACGGTCCAAGAGCGCGCGACGTATTTGCGGTCCTCGTTAAACTTTCGCGGCTAACACGCCGCGGTTACAGCCGGCCTCATGTGATCGGTGACCGGCAATTTGTATCAATGTACAAATTGCGACTTGTACGGCGAGAGGAGCGGCGAGACACGTCACGGCTTTGTCATCGCGAGGATTCGGCCAAGTAAGCCAGGATGCAAGGCGTCGTCGTACGACGGCCGAGCAAATAAATCACGATCACGCGCAAAGCAGGAGATCCCCGACGACAACAACAGTTGTGTGACGCCACGCACGTGAGAGCAGCGCGCAATCCAAGATTTCAAGACGATATTTTTTGTCGGAGATACAACGATCATCATCTGAAATGCGAGCTTCCCTTTCACCTCGCTTGAGCAACAAATTACGCCACTGGCGCCATGAGACAGTTGCGGAGATATACGCGGGTATACTGCAGTTCGCCAACGCGTCGCCCTTCCCCGACGAGCTCTCCCTCAAAGGGCAGAAGCCAGTTGGAGATCTCGTTAAAGATCAGGAAGGGGGTCCAGCGTACGTCGGAGAGTCTCCATCGGCGCACCATGCGTTGCTAGGGTGCCTACGGGCACTCGCACGCAGGAGAGACAGAGACAGAAACGGCCGAAAGAAAGAAAGAGTGAGAGGGGGCGGCGTGCAAGCGCGCGGAAGAGCGAGAGGGAAACAGCCCGCGTTTCGGCAAGTTTCGGCGGCCGGTCGCGCGGCGATCGGGCGCGCTCGGCGAGGCGGCGGTTTGCATTGGCCAATCACGGCGCGCGATCTCTCGCTCGGCGGACTTGGCGTCACGCTCACTTCAGTCAGCTACGGTGCGTCGGTCGGCGCGTACGAGAGTCGTGCACGTTTCCTTACAGAGGAAGAGAGGACAACACGCGACCGTTATTGTCGCGCGGCGTCGTTGCAGTGTGAAGGGACTCACGCACAGGCAGCGATACGTGAAACGCGACGTGTTCTCGTGTGGACGCTCGAGAGGAAACGGTGTCTATGCCGGGTCGTTCGAGACACACCGCGTCGTCTCTGACATGAGGTCGGTGGTCGCTAACAAGACGAACGACAGCGACCATTGTGCACGCACTTTGACATTCGGAGCAACGGCCGGTCGCGACGGCTACCCATGCAGCTTGACCGAAACAAGGAGGTGAATCCGGCTTGAACTTCGAGAGGAGGTCGACGACGCTGAGGAGGCCAGAAACTGCAACACGTTGCGCCGAGTCGAGGGTATTTTTGAGGTGAGTGTTTATTGTGTCAGTAAAGATCCGCTTTTAACCCTTTGCTACTCGGCGAAATGACCCACCGGCTCTCTCTCTCTCTCTCCCCTCACCTCCCCTCCTCTCCTCTCCCCTTTCTCTTCCCCGCGGTGGTGAATTCCGCATGAATCATCGGACTCTGTGCGCGGCGGTGCTTCTCCTCGTTCGAAGCTTGTTCAAATTTTGCCATTGAGTCGCGCGCACTTCAAGTCATTCGCCGGAGTCGTGATTTTTTGACGTGATATTCCCGGTACGGGCGCGTATGAAGTCTTCCGTGTGCACAAGGGGGAGCGTGCATCGAGTGTCGTTGACTTTGAGAAGGGTCGCGAATATATGTATGCGGCGTTTTTCTTTACTGCGGGAAGACTGACGCGCAACTGGACTCGCGGTTATGCACGCCATTACGGAAAACGAGAGGTGCGAATTTCCTCGCCGCGGCAATAGATTAGCTGTGCAAACGTGAGTCGTGGTGTTATTTTAGACACTATATCACGATAACATTTAGTGACAATTGAACGTTGCTTCGTATTCCGAAAAAGGCGGAAAATCCCGTTATATAGCGAATCTCGTGAAAGGACAAATTTTTTGGATACGTCGCATCATACTGACTATTTTGAATGTCATTTCGTCATCATTTTAAAATGTTCACGGAATACATATCTCTCTTTTCCCTCCTTCTCTTTCTCTCTCTCCCTCTCTCCCTCTCTCTCCCTCTTTCTCTCTCTACGCGCATGAGCGAGCATTTAAATGTTATAATACAACTCTACAAAGTGGATGTCGTAATCCCAATCGTAATCCGGCGATTGAAAACAAATAATTATTTATTGTCGACTATAATGATCGTTATGATAAATTATCGGCAAGAAGAGTGACTTGTGATAAGCACACATGAGAAACAGCGAAATGACCGAGTATAAAGATTCTAGAAAGTACGTGATCCTCTTAATGGCAATCTTTAATCGGATCAATTCATCTCGCGCATGATAACGCTCAGATGGAGCGTGATAACAACGCTCCCCGACTTTTCTCGTATAATTTTTTGTGCAAATTGTTCTCACACAAATAAAGCATCTACCGGTTGTTGTCATTCGTGCAACGAACCGATCGGCGTTTCTCCATCGCCATTTTTTCTCTTGCTCGACGCGAAAATAAAAGACGGAAGGTTCCGTTGGTTGAACGGGTACCGTTGGTTGCGTCGAGCAACATCGCGTAACGTCATTATTTTCGACGAGGCGTTCTTCGACATGCGTTGAACGAGCGAGGCCGTTCTGGATACGTGCATCCGTAGACCGAGATATCGAAGATCGCGATCGAGAACGCGATTGAAATCAGCGGGAAAAAAAGAAATCCCAGCGTATCGTTCGAGATGATCAGGAAATTAAGAAGTGATAAATTTCGTCGAGTAGTTTATTTGTTAGCTCGCATCGTAGAAAATCTCTGAACGAACAGCTGACACGTCGCATTCAGTAAATATATTTAGCGAAGATTAAAATTAGATACCAGAAGAAAAATCCATGCAGTGGATGTTAGGTGACGTCCACTAGGTCCGTATTAATAGTTGTCATCTGATACTTGCTTCAAGTGAGATCCTTCGATTTTTACTCAGAATTAGATTTGGACTTTTTTGTTGAATTTTGATTTATGTGACATTTAGACCTGTATCAATAGTTGTTGCTTGAAACTTGCCTCTAATGAGATATTCAGACTTAGAAAGTAATTCTAAAGTAAAGTAACTTTAGAAAGTAATCTTTCAATTAAGTCACGATTACAAATGTATTATCGTGTATATTATAATGATTCAAACAAAAAAATAAATTTAATTCTAAATTCAGATCTGAGTGTCCTACGTGGGAGCCAAGTCTTAAGTAATCACTATTGATATAAAGTTTGTATCTAATCTAATATATAATCGTGTGATTTAGCTGAAAAAATCTCATCTAAATCTGAATTCAAATTTGAGACCCGTATTAATAATAACCATTAGTTGAAACTCATTTCAAACGAGACATTAAGATTTAAATTCAGAGTTAGATGAAAGTTTTTTGATTGAATCGCTATTGCAGATATAAATGTCACATTTATCATAATTTAACTGAAAAACATCTAAAAACGGTCTAACTCCGAATAAAAGTTTGAGTATTTTACTTGGAACAAGTTTCAAGTAATGACTATTAATATAGGTCTAAGCACCTTACTTGAGACGAGTCTAAGAAAAAAAAAAAAATAACCATTAATACGAAACTTATTGAGAAACTCGAGTCTTTCTCTCAGCTTTGTTATTATTTCTTATACAGTGTTGATACTTTGTTTACGAGACTGCTTTTCTTTATATTGTTGTGATAATGTCCGTTTACTATTATTTCTTACTAGTTTAAACTGACGTTTTTCAGGCTTCTTATACTTAAAACATCAAAATTTAGATTATCATAAAGTGTCAAGGGGATGAAATCAAAGGACGAAGGGTGTCCATGTTTTATAGCAATCTATATTTGCAGCGAAGTCCTACACACTAGAGGAAAAAATATCTAAAAATTAGTAAATATTTATTTGATATGTGTGTGTGTGTGTGTGTGGATATTAACAGTATGTTTACTTAAATCTAAATTCTCTTATTTAATGGCATAAATATTTATTTTTATTGAAAAACTAAGGTTTTCTTAAGATTTTAAGAAAATGTGTTTTTTTTTACATTTTATGCAACATTTTATAAAACATTTTTTTTTACATTTTAATAAGTATAAATAAATATACTATATTCGGTGTATACTGTTAGTATACACCGAATAAATATTTATTAATTTTTATGTATTTTTCTCTTAACGAAGAGAGCAATTATACAAACTCTCGTCCACAGACCGACAGACATTCGATTTGATATGTATAAATTCAGTGAGTCGATATTTTAGTTTTTGAAACTGTTTGGTTTGTTTTTTGTACGACGATTTTACGACGATACCCGTTAAGATTGTTTCATCGTCGTGAACGTTGGTTGCCGCTCGCGATCGCGCGTCGAACGGAATATCACAAGATCGCATCTATGGCGACGTCGATCGCGATCGCGATCGCCGACGTGTCTTGGTGCGCGGCGCGCGTTTAGAAAGTTTGAATTTCTGCTAACTTACGTAATTCGTTCGGGATCGTGTGCCGCCGCGCGACGACCTTTGCCTCTTCGCAATGGCCGCACTCGCCGCTTTCGTTGTCGGCGAAGCGGAATTTTCGCGGTTTATTTCGGTACCGGATTATAGCTGTAGAGTTGGTTGCAACGCGCGTCTCGACTTAACATCGCGATCGCAAAACTCACGGAAGGATCGCGGATGGAGCTCGAAAATAACGAGCGCGCGAGACACCGAGCTCTTCGTCGTGCGCGCGTATTAATGGCGAACTTCGGGAAGAGAAGTCTCCTCTCGATTCGTTCGAGATGCGCGTTCGGTCAAAATCTCATTTAAATGACCGCTCAATTTTAGCGACTCCTCGTCGTACTTTGAATGAAAATTTGCATACGAAAATGAGAATATCGACATTCGATAAATAGCGATCGCATTCGTGGCGTGTTCACAAATTGCTGATGGAAAAAAGATTTTTTCACAGCGAGATCTCACGTGATTGAGCATGACACATTTGCGCGACGCTGTCAATAATATAATCGCGGCCATGAATTTATATATCAATTTCTTTATTCGCATTGCATGTTCTGTAAAATTGAAAATGATTAATTTGCCCTCGTGCTCACTCGCGTGTACGGGACGCTTATCTATTCGTTGACTCGTGAAAATTGAAGCGACGGGGGTAGAAAAGAAGAAGGAGGTGGAGGAGAAAGAGGAGGTGTAGGGTATTTTCTATACAAATTAAATGCGAAGTTTAATGACTCCATAATGCACGCTGACGTCTACACTTAAGGAAGGTGTATGATGATTCACAGAGCCTGTACATGGTGTCCGTTTGCAATCGGCTGATGTCATCATCAACGATGTAACCTTTTCGCACGTCGAATGCAATAATGCCGTTAGTTCCTAAGGCATCAATTAACCCTTCAGCAAGCCTACGTTACTATCTAAATATTTATACGGTTGATGCACAGAATTTTCGAGTTTCGCGAATCAAAATAATAATTCAATTTTATACGAAGAGAATATATATTTTTATATATATTTTTAATATATATATATATATATATATATATATATATATATATATATATATATATTATATTTTTTTCTCTTTTTTCATATAAATTTTCTTTAATTTTACTATGTTTCTAGTAATGCAAGAATAAGTTGGCAGTAAAGTCTATGTTGCTAAGGAACACAGTAAAATTTTGCTAGAAACAGAAAATTTTTAATAGCACATGGTAGTTCCTAAAATATACATAATGGTACATATGAAATGAAAGAATAGTACATACGAAAGAATAATGTATTACTGCAAAATATCAATCTATTCCTTAGTTATAAAATCCTATGAATCTTTAGAATTATCCTATAGATAATCTTAAATTTTTATTATAAAATTATCTCCGCGTACTATAGTTACAAGTTGCTTGATAGTATAAAATATTGAGTATAATTTATAAATTTTACATAACAGATATAAAAGTATTTATTTTTCTATAGTTTTACTCTTCATCTATCACCTTCTCTCTCTCTCTCTCTCTCTCTCTCTCTCTCTCTCTCTCTCTC